GGGAACAAAGGCATGCGGGTCCCGGGGCTGAGATCTCCAAGCCTATTCAGATCGGGGCTGAGCATCCTCCACCCAGATCCTCCAAACTCCAGTAGGCGGGGGTCACACCTACCAACTGGCCCCCTGGCGCATGTAATCCCATCAACGGCCAAGACTCAGAGAATTTTTTATACCTATTCAAATTAGGAAAAGTCATCTAAGCAATTTATCTATGAGATTTTAAGAGAATTTGCTACTTACAACGATAAAATTTTCTACCATAGTGTTGAAAGTGTGGGACTTTCCTAAGTTTATTTCCTTATTTTTCAAGTGAGAAAAAGTCTTAACTTCTTGATTTGAAAAGGGAAATTTAGAATTTACTTTTCAAAATAAAAGTTCTAATTTAATTTATTTTCGTGGTTTTCCTGAAAATTAAACTAAGATACGTTTTTAATACTTTCACATATAGCTGCTTGTAAACTAACTTAAAAGAGCCAAGAGATAGTATATAGAGTAGTGCATTTGCCTTGCATGCAGCCAACTGGGTTCAATTCCCAGCATCCCATATGATCACTTGAGTATTTCCAGGAGTAATTCCTGAGTGCAGAGCCAGGAGTAACCCCTGAGCATCGCTGGATGCGGCCCTCCCTAACAGCAATAAATAAATAAAAGAAATTTTCAGATTTTGTTGCACAAAATAGAAAGAGTACATATTTATTAATAAATACCTTATCAACTGTTAGAATTAATTAGACCTTGATTGACAGAAGTGATTAATCTGCTTCTCCTTCTCAAAAATGCTTGGTCCTAAAGTTTCCATGAAATATTTTCAACCATAAAACATCTCCAAAATAGATTTCCAGAAATAGAGATGTTATTTCTTCTCTTCATAAATTACCTTTAATAAGTGATTGTGCCTTTTGTCTAGGTGAATCAATAACTGCACAAGAATACTGAAAAATCAGGGATGATTTCAGAGGCTTTGTTAGAAAAATAGTATGAGAATTCCTTTAAAATGAGAAACCAAGGACCAGAGCAGTAGTATGTAACAGCTATTGTGCTTGCCTTACAAGCTTGCCTTGCATGAGATGGACCTTGTTTCAATCAATTCCTGCAACCACATATGGTCCCCTGAGCCCCATCAGGAGTGACCCTTGAGCTCAAAGCCCAGAGTAAGCCCTGTGTACCACAGGCTATGGCCAAAAAAATGAATGAAATTAATTAAATTGAATTAAAAACCAGAGTTGGAACATAGCACAAGGTATAAGGAAGGTGCTTTCCTCTCATGTGGCTGACCATAGTTTGATCTTTGCCACCACACATGGTACCCCAACCACTGCCAGGTTTGAACCCTGACCACACAGTCAGGAGTAAGCCCTAAGTATAGCTTAGCACCCCCAAAACAAAATTAAAAATCAGCATTTTTGTTATTATCCTTATTTCTTCAAAGCGAGGTGTTTTTGTGGACAGAATGAAATGATTGATGGAAATATATAAGGAATTAAAATTTTAGTGAGAAAGATTATAAATTAAATTCTGATATAATTTTGTTGATTATTTCTTGGCTGAGGGACTTTCTGATATGTCAAACTTAATTTAGAAAGAAATTTTTATAAAAATTCAGCTAATTTGTAGAATTGTAAATCATGGATTGTAGCTTTATTTTTTCTGTGGGAGAAATATACCATTATCCTGAAAAGAAAAAAGGGAATCACTATCATGATGGGTTCAAAATGCAGTGAAACCTGTAGAAAAATGATAACGTTATTAATCTGAGATTCTCTTTATTTATTATCTAGTCCTCCAAATAACTACCCTAAACCATAGGGAGATACAAATTTTAAAAAAGCAAAATTTCTTCCCAACTGGGAACTTAATTTCTAGGTTTTTTTTATGCTTCTGCTGAATATTAGAACAAGTTTATGTGGTATTAACAAGGGTAACTATAATTATTGTGCCTCGTCTGAATTCAACGTTAAAGCAAAAAATTCTTGAAATAGGATGTAAACTGAAAATTATAGTACCCATGTTTGAACTTTTTCTTTTTTGGTTATGACTTATGGGAATACCAACAATATTTAGAACTGTACGTGGACTGGTGGAAATTGTGCTAAATTAAATGTTGACACTGCAGAGTATGTGCGATACCATTAACATAATTTATCTAGTCTTCGAGTCTGAACTGGTTGAGAAATTTTAGGTCAGAAATTTTAATATCTCATTTGACTATGTATTTAATAGTCAGAAAGTCCCAATAGAGTATACTTAACATCTTTCAAGTGTTTGAGTAATACTAAACTAAGTTAAAGTATAATGAGGGCCTTTGAGAAATTAAAGTCAAGTTCAGTTTAATAAGATAGCTAATATACTGAAAGACAACCCTGTAGTCTTATTTAAATTCTCAGATCTCTCTATAAGCAATGATTCAATCTTGCCTAATCTCATGTTGATTGTGACTGATAGTTTTGGTCTGAGAATTTCTTACTTGTATCACTGAGTTTTTAAAATAGAAAAATTTATTGGGATTCATTAATAAAGCTTCTGAACCTCAAAGGATAGGACAATCTTGGATTTTGAGATGCAAAAGTAAAGCGTTTGGCAGAGTATTCAAATTCTGCTCTGGAAAAAGAAAAAAAAGAGAGAAATAAAATCCACAGTAAAATTGCCTCTGATACAAAGGATGAGTAATGACTGGGCATTTTGGCTACTGTGGAAAAAACAGGACTTTTGACAAGCTCCTTTTTCATCCTTCTTATTGTTTCTTCCTATTTCTTCAATTCTCTTATTCCTCCTCCACAACTTTTTCCTCCTCTGCATTCTTCTTCACTTGTGTCATCTTCTTTCTCCTTTGAATTTAAGGGAGGGAGAGTTTTCTATGAGTGATACTTCAGGTCACTTTAGATCGCTCTTAAGAAAGAACTTCGACTTTCATTTTTCTTTGCAAGCTTCTTAATGTGGTGTATTTAGACTGTAGATCACCCTACCAGTGAAAACTAATTAAGAACATCTATGTTAGGGCCAAGGACAAGGTCAAGGTCACCACTTGTACTATAAGTTCAGGGTTTAACCATATGTGGAGTTTTCGGTGATGGTCTGATCATAAAAGCTAGCTGAAGCTGGGGAGGGGATCTTTGAATTAAAGTGTTTGTTCATTTCTGTAGTTTAAAGTATTCCCACCAGAGGTTGGAATGATAGCACAGCAGGTAGAGAGTTTGCCTTCTACGTGACTAGCCCGGGTTCTATTCCCAGCATCCCATATGGTCCCCCGAGCACCACCAGGAGTAATTCCTGTGTGCATGAGCCAGGACTAGCCCCTGTGCAAAGCCAGGTGTGACCCAAAAAGCAATAAATGAATAAATAAAGTACCTAATTTTAAGATACCAACATTATGTAACTAAATTTAAAGACAACAATAACTTTGCACTGTAATTTTTGAATCACTTTATCTTTTCTGAAGCACAGAACGAAACACAGTTCTAGAAACATTTGCTGCAACAATGTTAAGTGTGAAGTAAGTGACACTCTGGGAAGGAAAGTCAAATTATAATACAGAAACTGTTCAGGGAATTTATTGTAAAGGTTTCGACTGAAAAGGGGACAGCTAGTCTGGGAGAGAAGGTCCGGACTAAGATTTCTTGGGATTGTCATTTCCACTCTCCAAATTCAGTCACTATTAACGCTTTCAAATATCCAGTATTTTCATATGTATTACAAGTAGTTACACACTTTATCATTTATTTCAAGATTTTTCGCCTTCCTCTTTCTCTGAGTGAAGAAATTTATTGAGCTTCGGATGCTAGCTGATTTATTGAAGAATAAATGGGGACGTCTCCAGGTGATATATCAGTACCCAGATGTTTAGAGAATACAGATCCATCTGGATATTTTTTATGCTCAGCTCACTAAATATTTCCTAAGATTCTCCAAGTCCTCTGGCTGCCTATTTTCCTCTAAATTATACAGAGTAGACAGGGTCTACAGCTTCCAAAGTAGGATGTGGTGTGAAATATGAAAAAAAAAACCCTAAAATTGAGGCCAAAACATGTTTCTCACAAGTTCTAATAATACTATTCAGTATTATTCAGTCATAAACTATATTTTGTCTATTGGGGGGCCAATACTCAACAATCTTCAGGGCTTACTCCTGACTCTGTGTTCATGAGATCACTTCTAGCTGAACTCAGGGTCCATATTTGGTGTGAATTATCAAATCCACATCAGCTGTGTGCAACACAGTGCCTTACCTGCTGGACTATCACTATGGCCCCTAGCCATAAACTTTTTATATGACTCTCTCTTCATTAGAAAGACACCTTAATGAGGATGGGTTGCTTCTTACTTTAGGCTTATGCCACCCATCAGCTCTGTTTACCCCAGGTAATACTAATATATAATAGAACAGTGGCAAATAGAATATATATCCTCTTGCATATTTAAATCTGTCATGATTTAAATCATCAAACTATATGTTAGGTGTTTTGAAACAGATTAATGTATGGATAAGGGTTCAGGAGACAGTACAGTGCATGTCCGTGCATGACCCAGGATCAATTCCTGGCACCACAAGGCCCCCAGCATCAGCATCTCTGTGTAGTTCTGGAGGCCCCAGAGCACCACTGGATGTGGTGCAGGTAATCCCAGCACTGCAAGGCCTGAGCAGCATTGCATCCTCAGGCCTACACACTAAACCACAGGCCTGTTGGCTAAGCATTTTGAGGGCTTGGGGAGAGAGAGAGAGAGAGAGAGAGAGAGAGAGAGAGAGAGAGAGAGAGAGAGAGAGAGGTGTCCTTAGGCATCCAGACTGCTGCTTGAAAGCTTTCCCCACCCTGAAATAAAAAATGCAAAAAATCTGAACAGAAGAAAATTTTGGTCTGAAGATTTTAGCATGAAGAATGTTTTGGTTCAATGATTTTTCTAAATCTAGTAAAATATATGTGTGAGTATATTATAAAGGGGTATAAGAATAAAGTGGTATATAATTGATTATAGTTCTATACATATACTAGAGAAAGTACCCTGGTATGCTTACCTGGCAGGGGAGATATCATTATCACGAAGTTGTTTACCCCAGGGTGAGACTTATCCATTGCACTCTGGGTATACTGGCCCCTGTGATTTCCCCAAATGTGGGGAACCCACTGCATAATTTGTGATAATGGGGGACTGTGTTTACACTCTTCTCTAGGGGGAAATAAGTATACTAGTAAAATTAATGTGTACTAAAATCATGGTAATTAATATTTTTATTTTAAAATTATGTATAAAATACTGCATATGTAAAAATTTTCCCCCAAATCACTCAGTTTATAATTAAAACAATTACCCAAAGAAAGTTACATTTTTAAAAAATTTTGCTTTCTCTCTATATGTACGGGGAAAAAAACCTGAATTTTATTAGACCGTCATCAACTTTTAAATCCTGGATCAAGAATTTAAATCCTGACTTTAAAATTTCTCAGAGAGAAGATTTAGAGTTTTAGAAGTGAACAGATGTTACTCCCTGTAATTTTCATTCTTTCTCTGAATTGAAGTCTTCTAAACCCTTTGTGTTTCAGAATCAGAATTTTAGGTGACTAAATTTCTCAGGAAAAATAGAGAAAAGATTGATGAGCAGAGGACATTTTCAAAACTGAAAATGGGGTCAGAAATCACTGAATATATCTATATCATGTGGGAGACCAGATCCAAGGAAGATTGTTACATTTTCTTAAACATACAATTTATCAGAGGCTTTGAAAGTTCTTTGAGTATCTTTTAGCTATGTTTTTGTTTTGTTCCATGTTAAATGACATTATTGTTATCTATTTTTTTTTAATTTTTGTTTTGTTTGGGGCCACACCCAGTTGTGCTCAGGGCTTAACCATGGCTGGCTCATGAGCTCAGTGGACCATATGAGATGTCAGGGAATAAAATCTGGGTTGGCTACAGGGGAGGAAAGGATCCTACTCACAGTACTATCACTCCAGCCAAAGTTATTCTGCTATTTTAAATGACAACATATGTGGTTTTTTTTAGAGACTGAAATAGTGGGGAAACAGAAATTGATGTTGTGAATAGTCAAGAAAAAAATGGCTAACATTTGGTTGTGTTCCTTTTCATTATTTGTTCATTGTATATTCGTATTCATTGATAAAAACCAAAGAATCACCTTATTTTCTTAACAAATTAACAAGAGAGCTTCTTCAAGCTGTTTGTGGAAACACTGTCACTGTCACTGTCCTCCCGTTGTTCATCGATTTGCTAGAGCGGACCCAGTAACGTCTCCATTACAACACTTGTTACTGTGTTTGGCATATCAAATATGTCACGCTTTGCCATGCAGGCAAGATACTCTCAGTAGCTTGCCAGGCTCTCCTAGAGGGGCAGAAGAATCGAACCTGGGTTGGCCGTGTGCAAGGCAAATGCCGTACCCACTGTGCTATTGCTCCATCCCATGGAAACACTAAGCAAGTTTAAATTCTTGGTTGATAAATGAGAAATCACTGAATGGAATAGAAACTCACTCAAATGAGAATTGAGAATTATCTGTTTCCATTCCTGTAGTGGCCTTTTTTAGAGATCTAAGTGTGGGTTCTTTTATTGATTGATTGATTGATTGATTGATTGATAACTGTGAGGATTAAATGACTATATCAGAATGAGTTTGTGGAAACAAAATTACCTAGTATGTGTGTTAAAATACAAATCTCCTTTAAACCCAGAAATTCCAATCATTATTTTTGAAGCAAGATCCAAGGGTATGGTATTGCATTTTAATAAGGACCCTTATTATGTTATTGCAGGCTCTGAAGCACCAACTGAAAATCAGTAAATTATATCACAGTTTGTTCTTAGAAATTCAGATTTTGAAAAAAAGTCCACAGAAAATAAAGAGTACACAATGGAAAGATACCAAAAATGCCAGTACTGCCTCTTCTGAGTTCAAGAAACCCCAACAGGAGCTCTCAAACCATTGCTGGTCAAAAGGCAACAGCCCAGTTTGCAAAGTCCTTAATCTTTTTCCCAAACTTGTGCCTGGCTTTATTTTCTTCCACAGTGCTTTTCCTGCCTTTCTGGGTTTTGTTTTGTTTTTTGTTTTGTTATCGTCATACCAGGCTATGCACAAGGGTTACTCCTGGCTCTGCACTTAGGAATCACTCCTGGCGGTGCTTTGGGGGCTCATATGGGATGCTGGAAATTGAACCCCGGTCGACCACGTGCAAGGCTAACACCCTACCCACTGTGCTAGCGCTCCAGCCTTCCTGTCTTTCTGTTTTACACTCATTTTCCATCACTTTTTATGCTTACAACTAGGTCTCTTGATTGCTCTCCAAAGACCTTCTCTTGGTTCCTTCCTTCAAATACTGATGTTTGTAATTTCCAAACAATCTCTTTCAAGATGCCTTTTCCAGTGCTGCAGGGGTCCCCACCCCCTTTTATCCTGTTTCTGTAGTTAAATCCCCCCCCCCTCCCCCGGCCGTTAGTACATTGTTTTCTATCTTTTGTCTGTTTGTTTTTTAGGTCATACCTGGAGCTGCTGAGGGGTGAGTCCTAGCTCTGCACTCAGGAATCAATCCCGGCGATGCAGGGGTGTAGGGGGTGCAGGGACCATATGGGATGCCGAGGATTGAACCCTGGTTGGCCAAATGCAAGGCAAATGCCCTACCTGCTGTACTATCACTACAGCTCCTATTTTATTTTTATAATATAGTTATTTCAAGTACTACCCTTCCCCAAGAGACTGAGTTTTCCTAGTGCCAATAATAGTCTCTGGCACAGGATATCACACAAAAATACTGTATGAATTAACAAGTAAAGTTGATTATGAATTAACAAGCAAGGTTAATCTTCTTAAGGCATCTATGATTTACATGGCATCAAACACGTATTTATATATATGTTTTTTCCATCTTTTTCTTTTCAGATGCCAGTATTTTGGTTTCTTTTGTTATTTAGATGCCTTTGTGGTAATTTGTCTTTTCTGAAACAGCAGGAGTGTTTCATTTCACCTTATCACACATACATCTTTAGTTAGGATTTCTATTCAAGTTTATTTCAATTGGTTGGCCTGATTTCCATGAGATACTTCATTTTAAGTTATTTTATCCTCTGATCAGAACAACTACTCTGTAAAAGAAAGGAATAAAATGTTCAAAGAAGATAGTTATGTCTATTGGCATTGTATTAAAATGCAAATGCGACACAAACTGGAAGAAGTCAACCTGCCAGACAATCTGGATTATTTCTTAGTCCAGAACAAAAATTTCTATCACTCATTTTCTCTATAGCAAGTAATCACCAGTCTTCATGTGTACATTTGTTGTAATAAAAATAAGGGAGCAATCTACAGAAATGAACTGATGGAGTTCATGCTTCAGTCTTAGATACTCAGTGAGAACACTCAGTGACATTTTCTATCATGCAGTAGTCCCCATTTGTCTATGGTTTAATTTTTCATGGCTTAAGTGACATGAAATCTACTGTAATATTATAGAGTAAAATTATTATCTAAAGTAAAATTTTCTTTGAGAGTGAGAGTACACATTCAAATAACTTTTAGTATAGTTACATTGTAACATTTGTTATATTTTATTATTTTTGTTCATCTTTTACTGTGGGCTGGACCAATGGCATAGTGGGTAGGGCGTTTGCCTTGCAAGCAGCTGACCTGGGTTTGATTCCTCTGCCCCTCTCAAAGAGCCTGGCAAGCTACTGAGAGTATTCCACCCGCACAGCAAACCTGGCAAGCTACCCGTGACGTATTCAATATGCCAAACACAGTAACAACAAGTCTCACAATGGAGACGTTACTGGTGCCCGCTTGAGCAAATTCCTGAACAATGGGAGGACAGTGGCAGTGAATCTTTTACTGTGTTAATTAAATTCTATTTAATTAAATTCTATTTAATATATGCATTTATAGGAGGAAAAATGTAATATATATAGATTCAATATTATTGTTGGTATCAGGTACCCATGAAGTACTTGGAATATATTCCCTCTGGATCAGGGATCTACCGTATTTTCAAAAGAAAGTTTTATTTTAAAATGCATGCACTGTGCAATTTATTCTAAACCATGCAGGGCTTTAAGAAAAGATGAGACCCATCCTCTCACCTTTATGGTGACTCCATGGAGGTCAATAAATCTCATATATACACCTTGTTTTGTTCATCTTGGTGGTCATTATCCTTAAGTATTCCCTTCCTGAAGAATGATAAAAGTGTGATGAAATACATCCAGTTCCTTGACTTTTTCTTTATAACTTGGAAATAATACTTTGTATTTGGAAGTTTTCTTGTTAACACATATCTCATGATAATATCAGGCCCCAATTGCCTTTATCTTTCTCCATTACAGCTTCTTTGATCTCATTGCTACTCCTGAGTCACTAAGGACCCTCTGGATTCAGGGCCATTGGCCTTGCTATCAGTTCCTTTTGCAATCCCCCTTTTTTCCTCCTTGATTCAGCATCACCACTTCCTCAAGTTTAAATTTTTTTTTAAATTTTAAATTTTAAATTTTTTTAAATTTTTAAATTTTTTAAAATTTTTTAGATTTTTATTAGTGAAACACCATGAGGTACAGTTGTAGACTTACAAATTTTTGTGCTTGGGGTACCTCCTCCCTTCTTCTGTTTTTATTCAAATGTCAGCTAATCAAAGGGGCCACATTCTCAATTTCTTCACTCTGTTTTCTTTTTCTGTTTTTCCCTTTTTTTCCTTCTCCAGCTCTTTGTTTATTTTTGGACGACAAGTGCACATCCATTTGTGCCCAGGTCTTATTTCTGGCTCTGTCCTCAGTACCACAATTGGCAGGTGCAGGGGGCCATACAGGGTACTGGGGATCGAACCCAGGTAGGTGCATTCATGCTATTTGACTGCCATGTATATGTCTTTCACTGTGAATGAGTGCAAAGTTTTGTTTTTTTTTCTGCTGGTACCCTAGTATCTAAAATAGTGTTTAGTATATAATGGGTGATTGAAAAAAATATTGTTAAATAAAGATATGATTACTATGAGGAAATAGGAAGACAGTTTTTGAAAACGGTAAATGGCAAAAGTTCTGAGGTTCTTAAAGAACCATTTAAAATATTGTCCCTGACCTTTACTTCCTAAATCCTCTGAAGATAGTTATTAGATCCAGAGGCATTTATAGACTCAGCTTTCAAATCTGAGAGGGATATTACCATTATTCTCCCCTCT